AAACCCTAAACCCAAACCCCCAAACTCCCAAACCCCGGAGCAGAGGCCAAGAAAAGCGGGGCCCAACCGCAGACGGATCGCGGAAACGCCATCCTCAAGGCCAGGCAAAGTCCCTAGGTTCCTTTAAAGGGCTCTATAAGGGTACCATAAGGGTTTTGGGTTTAAGGGTCCATGTACCCTCTGAGTATATACTTTGGCCTGAAAGTAGTCGAATATAGGTACTTTGGGGCCAAAGTATATACTATTTAGGCACATGGACCCTTAGGGAATGTGTGTCTTGTGTCTCGTCCCCTGGGGTTCCTTGAGGGCTTTAAGAGGGTTGTGTCATCGTTTAGTCGTCTTCGGACAGTTTTAAGTTGGAGAGGTTTAGGTTTTCGTCGGGGTTTAGGCATCGCGGTATCGCCGGGGGTTTCTGAACAGGACATTTAAAGTGGCCTAGAAGGGTTGCGCATGGGGCGCCGCTTCGGGTTTCATAAGGCTTCCACTCTGTCGGGCATTTCAGCTCCTTTAGGGTTTCCTTTGAGGCCTCCTTTCCGAGCTCGTTTTGGCTTGAATAACGCTCAACCGCAGAAGCTTGGGCCGTAATTCCGGAAACCCTCAGTGCGGGCTTGCTCTCCTTCCTTTCGTCGGCATGGCATTCCTTATAAGGGTCCATGTACCCAAATAGTATGTACTGTGGCCTCAATGTAGTCCCTATATAGGTACTTTAGGGCCAACGTATCTACTATTTGGGCACATGGACCCTTGAACCCTAAACCCTTATGGTACCCTTATAGAACCCTTTAAAGGAACCCTTAAAGGAGCCCTACCCCTATACTCTTTGGGTACCATGGACCCTTAGGCAGGTTTACCTAAACCCTAAACCCTAAACCCTAAACCCTAAACGCTAAACCCTAAACCCTAAACCCTAAACCCTAAACCCTAAACCCTAAACCCAAACCCTTATAGGCATTGCAGGATGTGGAGCAAGGCCCTTTGGTGTAGTTGGGTTCTGCTGGCGTGACCCGCGGTTTCGAGGTTGAGGCTCTACAGGCTTACTGTCATGCGTTCGAAATGGGTTTAGGGCTTAGGGTTTAGGGTTTAGAGTTTAGTTTAGGGTTTAGGGATTAGGGTTTAGGGTTTAGGGTTTAGGGTTTGGGGTTTAGGGTTTAGGTTTAGGGTTTAGGGTTTAGGGTATATACTGAATCCTAAACCCTATCCTAAACCCTATGAAGCCTATAGTACCCCCTTATAAACCCTACGCCAAACCCTAGACGGCAATCCCTAGTCCTTAAGCCAAGACCCTACCAGTAGTTGGGTTTGGGCTTAACTTTCACGTGGAAGGTTCACTGGTACTTGGCAGCAGGGTTGCCTATACCCATAGCCCCCACAGAAGTTCCTTTTTGGGATTACCTTATAGGATTCTAAATATGAACCCCAAAACGGAACTACTATGGGGCCTATGGGTAGTTAGGCCAACAACTTGACATGGCGAAGTCCGGTCGTAAGAGACGTGACTGCACCGTGTGAGGTTTCGGGGTGTAGGGCATACGGTATAACCCGAGTTTCGGGTCGCTTGGACCCGTAGAGAGAGTGTTTTCATGCGCTATGACGGGCTTAGGGTCTAGGGCTCGCGCACGCTCAGGCCCCCAACCAAATCCTAAACCTTAAGCCCTAAACCCTAAACCCGAAAGCCCAAACCCAAAACCCAAGGCCCTAAACCTTAAACCCCAAGCTGTACGCTTGCGAGGCCCTCTGTACCAAGCTGAAGGCACGCTGCTTGCGGGCAACAGAAGTTTGGTTTAGGGTGTTAGCTTTGCAGCCCTGTAGCAATTAAGCATCAGCCCTTTTTGGATGATGCATCCCACCTAAAAGCTGTTTTTTTTTTTTTTTTCCGGGGGGGGGGGCTTATGAACTCGGACCCTAAACCCTAAAATAATGGTCTTTGGGATTTTTCGCTTTGGAGCTTAGATGTCAGTGGCTTCGTTTTGCGGCTTCGAAGTTCAGGCTTTGGGGTTCAGGGTTTC